TGTGCACCATGACTTTGACATTAAAAAAAATGGGAAAAAAGTGCGCTGTATACTCACAACTTTACGGTAGATGTTATGGAAGAGAGGGCAGTCTTTGATACGCTAAAGGGCCTTAGGAGACCTGGTATAGCAAGATAATCCTGATTCAAACAAAGCACCAGGATATTGACATAAAAAGCTTAACAGAACATGATCACACCGTCTGGGTCTGTGATTTGGTTGTTCACAGACACTTCTGTGTTAAAGCAGTGTGGCAGAGTCAGGCCAGAGGGCTGTTAGAGTGGGAGAAAGGCAGCCCAAAAGATAAAAGGCCTGCTAAATAGAAATGGAGGGATTAGAAACAGCTGGTAGGGAGCTTGCCCAGGCAAATTGAGCCCATCTGACTCCACTTTCAGGCCTTCCATAGGCCTGTAAAAGCCTCCCCAGTTGGAAGGTGGGGAGGAGAGTGAGAGGATGTAAGGAGAGGTAGAGGGGGGAGAGAGAGTAAGCCATAACAGCTTTTAGAGCAGGAATAGCAAGGGAGGGAGTCCTGGAAGAAGTGGCTGGGTTTCCTATCTCAGAAACCAGCTGCAAGCCCCAACTCCTGGGGAATGGGGCAAGCTGCCAACTCAGCTAGTGGCCTGGGAAAGAGGAGCCCTTGCCACAGTGAGTATTTAACTGAGGAGTCAATAGGCAGCCTGGCTCAGTTGCAGCTTGTGCCAGGTGTGAGAACAAACCCCGCTTCAGCTCTGCAATTTATAAGGCAGTAGGAGCCAGACACAGCAGACTGACCAGGAGGCACCATGGAGATGTTGCTGGGCTGAATTGGCTTTTAAGACTGCTTCCCCTAGAATTGGCTCCCCGCCACTGTCTCTGATACAGAGGCAGCAAAGTGGGGGAATACGAATAGTCGACTTGACTACCCAATAAGCATAGGCTTATCAGGTAGTCAACTACTCCTTTACATCCCTCGTTTCTCATGGTCACTTGCTTAGCATGAAAAATTGCAGTTGATGTTTTTATCTGATCTGCTGTTGATATTTGATTCCGAGGTAGTTAGTTGGCATCTTTTGTGTTCTTGTATGTGCACTGGAAATAGGTCACATTTGCCTTTCTTTTTAACATGGGTAGCAAAGGGCTTAGATGATGGTGATAACTGGTTACTTCCGGCCGAACGTCTGGCCACATTTGATCAGTGAATCAGGGAAGCTCTGCATCATATCCTGTGTTTACCTTCATTGTCAGTCTGGCACCCAAGAAGAGAGGATTAGAAGCTAGGAATAAAACGTTTGAGAAGAATTCAAGTAGTTTAATTTCAGAAGTTACCTACCTGCTTAGTCTAAATCCTGTTCGCTTGTAGTTAGACATAAGTTCCTAAGTGGCTAAATGACTTGACTATGGGACTTAGGCTCCTGAGTCATTTAGGTGCATTTGACCATTTTACCTTCAGGGTTTATAAATGTCTGGAGGCTTCTGGTTAAGGAGTAGTATTCTTGGTATTCATAGGAGTTTTTAGGGAAAAAGTTTTAAGTTTGTGCTAAAATGCTCATATGAATACTTGTTCCTGCACAAGCTATTCATCTTTCTTCTCCCTCTTCCCTTAATGTTTGTGAAAAATTGAAATAGCTGTTAGAACACACAG